GAACAAAAAAAAAAAAAAAACAGGCATAGCCAGGCATGGTAGTGCACACCTGTAATTCAAGCACCCTGGGAAGCTGAAGTTGGAGTATCACAAATCAAGCCCAGCCCTGGCAACTTAGCAACTCAGCAAGACCTGGTCTCAAAATACAAAATAATAAGGGCTGGGGATGTAGCCTAGTGTAAAGGCCCTGGATTCAACCCCCTGTACTGTAAAATAAGTAAATAGACAAGATCATACTTTACCTTAAGATATGTAAGTAGATTTTTAAAAATTTAATAAGAGTTTTATTTACCAGAATGGTAAGTAAATGTGAACAATTGGAAACCTTCCACCATTCAAGGGGCAGGGTGGGAGAGTAGCTTCACTGCACTGCTCATATAAAGCAGGGATTAGGGCATTCTTCAATATTTCAAAACCAAGTAACAAAAGATCTGCAAGCAACATTCCTTTTCTGCTATTTGATCAAAAGTAAGCTAATACTGGGGAAAATTATACAAAGGGGAATAATACTCAAATAAACAGAAGATTTCTAATTAAATAGAAACAAGCCTAAATTTATATATAAAATAATTTTACATAATCTATATAAAAACATTATATAAATATCTAATATAAATATATACATGTAATACATTTATATTTCTCTAAAATTTAAGAAAAAGTGGATTAAAATACAAATCTTTAAAAAACTATTAGTGGGATAATAATATACTATCCAGGCTAACACTGGAACATTCACAACAACAAGAATATAATTTTCAGTGTATATGTTAATTAAACTTGTTACATTTCACTCATTATTCTGTCATTTTTTTCATTTATAAATGTTGGGAAAGTGACTTTGGAGGGGTACACTGCTGCTTACAAATGGTGACTGAAAAACTTAAGATCGAAAAGAGATGAAAACTATTATAGAAGACATTTAAATGTTTTTGTGGTGTACTAGTTCAGAAAAATTGGCATTCTTAAGTATCAGCCTAGGTTTCTCAAGTTTCAGAAGGAAGAAATGAAGATGAAAAGTAATAATGGGGGGCTGGGGATTTAGCTCAGTGGCACCATGCCTGCCCTGCAAGTACAAGGTCCTGAGTTCAATCAACAGTACCAAAAAATAAAGTAATAATGGAAATTTATGTTGAGATTATTCCTGGCAAAATTTGAAGACAGATGCTTCATACTAAAGTATCATCTGGCAGTTGTTTTTTTTTTTTTTTAACCTAAGGAGGTGATATGGGTTGGGTGGAAGAGAATTAATGAAGAACAGATGGGTGAAGAACCAATAAATAAAACAATCCTTTGCAGCAACATCAGACATAAAAAATGACTTTAAGTCACATATTGAGATTCAGTGACTACTGGAAAATCAAAAAAATTAAAAGTCTGAAAATCTATTAGATAAATATACTATAACACAGCAGAAAAAAAATCTCAAAGAAAATATTTTACAAATAAATCTTTGAAAAAAAACAAATTCTTCATGAAATCTTAATGTGAAATCATAATCATTTCATTGGTATAAAGAAAATACTAATGAGAGACTATAGCTAGAGAGTGAACAGATTTTTAAAAAATTTTTAAATAAGATATGTACAAAGCAAACTGTTGTCTCTGTGCACTTAAGAGACTGTTGAGTAAGGTTATAAAGTTAAGAATTTAAATTATGGTCATGGAATAAGGTAGACACTAATGTAATCTTCACAGATCATATACTTCAATTTTTCTGCAGATAGTAAGTCTTAGGTTATATAATTTGCCAAATCCTAAAACCTTTACTGTTAAACAACCAAATAGGATCATCTAAAAACATACATATTCCAAAACTTCCTTTCTTAAATAATTTAACTAAAACATCTAATTTAACATCACAAATGATTTCAAAAGACAGCATCTTAGAGTTCTTTCTTGACATTCCCCATTCCATGTTTGTTATTCCTCAGACAAAGAGAAATCTAATTCTCTTTATTCTCAACATACTCATTTATTTGCTTAATGTAACCTAACCAACCTACCAACACAGCCTCTCTGGCTGGCTATTGTACAACTTTTCACCAAATCGCCCACTTCCTCAGACATGAGGGCACACATACCATGCCAATACAGCTGCCCTGCTCCATAGTCCACTGTACTCTACTTCCTAGGTGCCTATGTTCCAAGCCAAGAGGGGAAAAGAATAAACAAATAGGGCAGGAAAGAGAAGCAGTCTTAATCTTCAGTTATTTCATTTAATAACAGACCCCTCGTCTATGACCCATCACTTAATGTGTCTTCTTTTCACATCCCCCATCTTAAAGAATGAGTAACTAGCTATATTTGCTTCTGCAAATCTAACTTCAACACTCAACATAAGAATGCCCTAGAAGAAATGGTATTCAACTACTAAACTTGACAATTTCCAGCAACCTTCTCCCCCAAATGATAGTACATAGCAAGCCATATGAAAGGCTCTTGAAACAGAAAGCTTTAAAACATCTCAAATGTTTATTTACAAAGACAACATAAGCAGGAAAAAAAGTCACAAAACTTAAACTATTACAATATGCAGAAAGCACTATATACACTATACAGTGCATTTTTGTAACATTCTACATTACTATATGATGACTTAGAGAATCCACAGAAGGATATTTAATTCATGACTAAAAAACCTGGGAAAGTAATCTACCAGCTATTAATCAGAATTAGACAACAGAGACAAAATAAGGCCACCTGAGAAATTAACAGGAGACATTGCTCTCCCAAGAATACACTGCAACTGAAAATGTTACAACAACCTCCTACTTTGAGTGACTACTATATTCTTACTGAGAAGCCTTGTTGTCTAAAATTATAGATTATCAAATACTTTGTTATTTAAACATGTATCAGTAAGAGTGGAACATCTCTCTCTTGTGTGGAGGATCTAAGTCAGTCACTTTGACACAGAACCACCTTTGATTTCCAACACAGGTGCAGATCTTCACAGAGAGGGTTTCTGAATACAATATGTCAAGTCTATGTTAACTTTGTAGTTTTCAAGACATGACGATCCTAGGTCTACTTCCTAGGTCTACTTCAAAGTCTAGACCAGATGTTAACACAACCCTGCTTTGTTTTGAGCCCATCAAAATACTGCTTTAAATTTTATCCATCCTTCTCCCAAATTCCATACTAATTTCTTTGTTTGGTGAGATTATATCTATTGTACAGTCTCCCTCCCTGCAACAAGCCAATAAGCCTAATATTGTTAGATTCTAAATTTGTTCCTAAGATCTTGGGCTGATTGGATTGGACAAAATCAAAGGGAAAGTTGTAGCCCTAACTCTTTACTTCTCTAGTTTATGATCATAATACTCACATAATTATATGATACATAAGGATAGGGGAAAGAAATTAGATGGTTTAAGGAACACAATTTTAGCTATCACATAAGAAGAGTTCCTGAAATAAGAAAATATGTTCTATTTTCTTTATCAACTATTCAAAGGTTATGCACTCATTATACAGCCACTGGATGAGCCAACTAGAAAAGGATCCACTAGTAGAAAGCTGGGTAAAATCTTCCCATTCTTTCCTCTGTCTGTTAGTCCTGCCCAGATCCATTGCTCCCCACAACTCTCATGGAAGAAAAATTTTGTCAATAAATCATTTATAGTCATTGAAGAATGATGCCACCATTCATAACTATTCCTGGTGATATTGTTGTGAAAGACAGAAAATAAACAAATGAGTAAACTCTTTGAACCAGTTGGAAGAAAGGAACTTGCTAGAAAAAATTATATATAAATAGACCCTTACTAAGATACATTAGGGACTGGGGATTTGGCTCAGTAGTTCTGCTGCCTGCCTTGCAAGACAAGGGCCCGAGTTCAATATCCAGTACCACAAAAAAACGAAAAGAAAAGAAAAGAAAAAAAAAACAAGGTATGCTAGAATACACTTCTCCCACAGCCATTCAGCTTTTCAGTTATATAAAATTTTAAAAGCTATTGAAATTTAAACCCAAACCTCCTTTGTAATATACTAGAACAGTAATTACCTTATATTCTGACAACCATTCTTCTACAACCCCTCTCTCTGAAGTGAACATCTTTCCACATCTGTTTCAAGCCTTCAATCTGAAAATTAACATAGAAAACTGTTAAAATTTGAATTAATTTTACTCAGATTATTATAGAAATAATCCTGTAAAGATAACTTAATTCTTATTTGTAAAATTAAAGTACTTCACATATAACTTACTACATTCATTTCAAGACAAATGTGTACAAACAAGCCTTAATTAGCAGAAAAAGTTGATAAGAGTATACCTATTATAATGAGGAAAATCGCTCCACAACTTTTATTCAGCCTTCAGGAATGTCAAATATAAAACATACTGAAAAATTTTCCATAGTTTCAGTTCAACAACTTCAAAAAAGATCATTCATCTTAAAATTGCAAAAAATATTTCAATGTTTGAAAATATCATGTGATGCACCCAAAACTGGCTTTATAGAAGAATTAAAGTAATTTAATGTGTTTATTGTTCAGTTATAATAGTAACTGTAAGCCATTTGGTTTCTTGATAAATTAATATTCATTTTTAAAAGTAAAAGTGATTAATATTCAAGATAATGATCCTATATTTAACAAGTTTTTCAGAAGATTGGGCTTTACTTAAGTATAAATAAGAAAAAAGAAGGTAAAGGAAATATAAAACATTTTGATCTTAAGCAAAATGTTATCCAAGTATAATATTTTCTTTTCATCCATCTATCTATATGGGAGTAAACTGAGAAATTGTATCCTGAAGGAAAACTTTTTCTCTGTCTAAACTTCAATTCACAGGTTTGTTAATTTTTGTCAGCATTATAATATAGTAGAAACAGGCAGAATTGCCAGACTGAATCCCTATTCTGTTTACCTGGAGTTTAATTTTGCCTTGCTTTTTCATCAGTGAAAAAGTGAAAGCCACAGAATTTGCTTCCAAAGGATGATTGTGAGGATTAAATTTTCAAAATAAAAAAGCACTTATAATAATACCTGGAAATATTATTAAAGAATAATTCAAACTCATATAACCTCTGTTCTGCCATTTATCAGAATATATAGATACATAAAGAACAACACAAGTTCTTACCAAAGAATGTGTTCCACTCATTCACTCATTCATGAAGCATAACCTGAATGATATGTATCTTATATTTTGAATAAAAATAGCCCTTCTTATTCTTGAATCAAGTCAGACTATCAAACTATCTCATATTTGTACTGTATTACTGGTTTTATAAAACCGTCTATTTGGAACTGAACTTTAGAATTATATCCAACAGGTTAACAAAAGCACACTGGATTTTATCTCACTTCAAAGCCAAAAGGAAAAAAAAAGCCAACAGAGGAGAAAACTCACATCTTCAATTTTTAGTACCAGGAAAAATTCTCCTTTAAAGTAACTGGACTGTTTTTATATTATGAGTACTATGAATCTCTTAACTGATTACCTTTCCTTTGATTCTAATAAAGTTGGCAGTCAAAGTTTCTGCCCTAACTCTGACCACAAAAAAGTAGACCTAGGTTAATTTTATCTACTGCTTTATTCTGTATTTTACCCTTATTTTCAGAAGGAAGAGAGGATAAATTATATTTCATTAGAAGAACCTCTGTTTATCAAAAGAAAACAAAATGAAAGGCCAAAGTCACAGAATAGGAGATTATATATATGTAATCCCAGCACTCAGGAGGCTGAAGCAGGAGGATCGCTGTGAGTTCGAGACCAGCCTGGGCTACATAGTGAGTTCCAGGTCAGTCTCAACTACATGGTGAGACCCTATCTCAAAAAAAAAAAACTAGGAATAAACCAAATGTCCATCAAGAGTAAAATTGATAAAGTAGGGTACAGTACACATGATATTGTATACAAGAAATTTATCTATGAATGAACAAATTAAAACTAGGTCAATGTCACAATGTTGGGTAAAAAAAGGCAAAGTGTCAATACACTGTGTATAATTACACTTAAATGAACTTCAAGAATATACAAAATTAATCAATTGTATTAGAAGTTGGGATAGCAGCTGCTCTTGAGGGGGTTTTATCTCTTGGGTTCTAGTGATACTCTGCTTCTTGATCTAGATACTAGTTTAACAGTGCATATTTGGTGCAAATTCACCAAAACTAATCACTCATAATTTGAGCATTTTCCTGTGTATATGTTACACATTAGTTAATGCCAGTCAAGCCCAGGTCTCTAATCTTCCACCTGATAGAGATCAAGTGGGAACTCTATTTGTATAGCTCAACTCACAGGAATTTTTACTTGTTTAATATGCATACAAGCTCAAGAGTGAAACTATCCCTCCACACACTTCTTTGTCTCCTGCAGAGCTTAAAAGGGAATCAGAGTAATGCCTTCAACCCAGAAACTTCCACAATCTCACCACAACTGTCTTAGGCCCACCAGGATTAAAATCATAATTCCCTTCATCTATGTTGATATCAGGTACCACAAACAATTACAGACTCCCATATGACACTCATTTTTCATACATAAATCTCCAAAACTCTTTGCACATCCTCTATCTTGATCATATCTCCTGTCCCATCCTAATTCTGGAAGGGGGAAATCTCTTCATGGTGTCTTAAGGAACTAACAGTGTAGCATCAGCAAAATCTTCACCAGTTCTTTGAATGTTGCTTTCTTCTTTTCAGAAAACACTACTTTACCTGCATGCAACCTTCTTAGAGTGGCTGCTTTTCCTCACATAGTCCTAAAAGAAACTACTGGGCCTAGAGGTAAAGTAGGTCTCTTCTATCCTCCATTTTACCACTCTAGATCATTCTCCTTTCCCTCAAACCATCCACCCAACACTGCTTTCAAGTTCCTGTTATTAATCAATCCCACCTCAACTGCCCCTGCACTGCTCTGTCCTATCAATTCCCATTCCTAAGTGATCTTAGCTGCTGGCTCATTACCACTTTTCCAAATTGCTCTTAAATTCTTGGTGATTTTAATCTTACACCCTGAACTTTTAATTCCTAGAATACTCCTCCAAAGCTACTGCTTTCCTCCCTACCTCAGCTACTCAATCTTATGATCCTAACCTACACAAGGTGTTATGTAAACTGTTCTCAAACATTTTGAGCATAAGCACCTCATACTCTTAAATACTGAGCCAACCTGAATGAATGCCTAATGGGCAAAGCCGGGACAACTTGAACAACAAAACAAATACTGTAGCATTGAAATATAAAGTATAAAAAAAATGAGACCATGCTAATATAAACAAATGATTAAATATATATGAATAACAGATATATCTTCCTTACAGAAGAATTCCCAATAATAAATGTAGATTCTCTATCCTCTAGGAGGAAGAGCTTAGTACCTGCCTCCTCACTGAGGGTGAGCTGGACACAGTGATTCACTTACAAAGAAAACAATTTAAAAAGGGGGAAACAGTAACTGTACAGTGGACAAAACTGGCAAACATGGCCTTTACCAAGGTTTAAATCAGCTGTAATGTCATGTCAATATCATGTATGATAGGATAATCTTTCCAAAAATCCATAAACCAAATATAATGATGTGAAAAATACTATAGGGAACTCAATGCAAGGAATGTCCTTCAAAATATCTGACCAATACTTTTCAAAAATGACATGTGTATGAAAAGCAACAAAGATTGAGAAAATCTCAGAGAACAAAAGAGTCTAAGGTAAAATGACAATTAAGTGCAATATAATACCTTGGACTGGATTCTGGAAGAGAAAGGGACAATAATAAAAAATTGGTGAGATTCCAATAAAGCCTGGAATTTAGTTAATAATCATGTGGTACTAATCACAATATACAATGGTCATGTAAGATATAACATTACAAATAAGAAACTAGGTGTGGGGCATAAAGATATTCTCTGTACTCTCTTTGCAACTATTCTATAAATAAAAACAAAATCTTTGAAATAAAAAACAATTTTATTATTATTTTTTGGTACTGGGGATCAAACTCGGGAACTTGTGCTTGCAAGGCAGGTGAGAGCACCACTGAACTAAATCCCCAGCCCATAAAAAACTACTTTTAAAAATTATTGACATCCCAAAAAGAGTTTTTTATATATGTAGGTTAATATATTAATATTTGCTGTGCCATAAGATTTAGGAATTGAAATATATGGTATTTCATAAAGTCTGCAAAAAATAACTTCTTATATTTTCAATATATAATAAAACCTTTCTAAACCTAGTATCTTATTTTCAATTCCTACACTATATTATTATCTTAAACCCAATGATTACTAAATTTCATTTCTTAAGTATTGTCATCGGAGACATAACTTTGGGTTCTTTTGTTTGTTTTGTTTTTTGGGGTGTTTTGGTTTGGTTTTTTGGTGGGGGTACTGGGGATTCAAACCTACCTTTGCATTAAGCCACACCCCCAACAGTTTTTTATTTAAATCACTGAATTTCCCAGGCGGGGCTTGAATTTGCAAACCTCCCACTTCAACCCTTCACAAAATCCTGGGATTACAGGTGTACACCACCACACCTAGCTAGGGACATATAAAATTATAGCTGCATTATTATTACTCAGGGAAGAATATGAAAAGGACAACTTAAATTGTAAAACTGAAAATTTATTTCTACCATTTCTCATCATCTCTATCATGAGGTACTAACTATATACTACAACAAAAACTTTTATAGCCATTTGCCTTATATCATTTCTACAATTTTATAAAACAAGCAAATTTCCATACATGTCACATGGATTGTGACATATTATGACGTTTTAAATTTCTGTACTATGCAATGAAGCTGCTCCAGTAGTTAAATTAAGTGCCATAAGAAGATTATAAAAATCTTAGGTGAATTTCAGGAAAATTAAGCAGAAGGAAATGTTCAAATTATGTTACAAAATTTAATCTCAGGGATTTTGCCATTTAGTGATTGACCAATCAATTACAGTCCTGTGAAGAAGCAGAGGATCTATGCTGTTCTTGAAAGAAGTGTTGCTGATTGCCTCACTGCCTACCTTTGTCCTCCAGTGAATAAAGTAGTTTGAGGTAGGATAAAAAGTAATGTAGAGCCAGTAAAAGAGAGGTGGGAAGTCTTTCTAAAAACCCATTAGGCAGGCTTA